CCGTGGAAGTGTAAGGATGTGAGCGGGGCGGCGATGGGGGTGCAGCCCTGGCCGTGCTCGGAGCTCACCGGCACGTTTGAGACTGGGTATTGTTACAATTAATAGAATTTCTTGATTAGTGTTTTTTTTTTTTTGGTTGAGTTGATTGAAGTTGATATTTTCTTAGTTTGAATAAAGTTTTGAGTTTGGATGATACTTTTGTTCGTGCGGACTTTGTAAATTTGTTAGTGTAGTTCGGTCAGTTCAATGGAATCTAGGAGCGGCATAAATTTTATCCTGATTTCCTTTTCACTTGATTGACATGTTTGAGAGGTGAATGTGTGAGATTTTGAGTTCTCGCTCGTCCTTGAGGACATCAAAATAATTTCTGCAGGTTGTGTCACCGGCTAACAAAATTTAGGTAATCAGACAAATATCATCAGTGGAATTTCTAAATAATTGGGGATTACTTCCTAAATCCATCCTTTGAGGGCCTATTACAAAATTAACATGATTTGAGTGATCGGGAAAAAAAAAATAATCCTTAATATATTTGTTCGCGTGAATTTTGAATTTCATGCGTATTCAATTATTCACACTTATAATTGGAGAGGATCTCAAATTTTCATTGGAAACCACTTTTAAAAGTAGGATTATTCCATAGAAACAATTTTTTTTATTTATTTTTAATTTCCATGTAAATCATCTTTAAATGGTTTTTGGCTGCAAATCAACCACTTTGCACACTATTCAGTTAAAAAAATTGATCTCACCCAACTTCTGTTAAGGATCATCTTTCTAACATATTTAATATTTGATAACTATTTATAATATAGCAAAATCGAAAAAACTTGTCCTAAATGTGAGTCTATGTGGTTGATTGCAATGGAAAAAAATATTTAAAGATGGTTTTATGTATAGATAGATAATTAGATGTGGTTTATATAGAATGACCATATTTTAAAGGTGGATTCTAATTAGGTAAAAAGCCAAATATGTACCTTACGTATTGTTTGGTACACGTGAATCAAGTCAAGTGAAAGAATGGAATGAGTATGGGACTATGAGAGTGGAATGCTCATTTTTTTTCTCATGTTTGGATGTAATTACAGAACAAAGTGGGAATGATTTTCTTGTCTGAATAATTAATAAATAATTAAAAAATATTTGGTGTGTAGTTTAATTTTTTTCATTCTCACTTAAAGTGAGAATGTCCATTCCCTAATAACTCATTAGGAATGCACGTTCCTACAAAATGTGAGAGTGAAAAAGAAGTGGGGATAAGTATTATAACTTTCAAAAAATAATGTGTTTGGCGTGCATGAAAGAGAAGTGAGAATGAGCATTCTATTCTTCTTATAGTTACCCTTAATTTGCACTTATATACCCTAAATTATTTTTTGCAGCACTTATATATCCCGAAGTTTTTTAAATTTGGGCTCTAATCAAGTAAGTTATGCAATATGAGAATTTTCTACTAAAACTTCTTATGCAATACTCACATGCTACTGGTAGAACATCTTAACTTGTAATATTTGTTAATTTATATTAAAACTATCAAAGTTCTTTTTTTAAAATAGAATTTTGATGTATTTAAAATAGAATTACGGAAAATTTTTTTACCATAAATTTAATAAAAAAAATTAAGGATTGAAAGTTTAAAATTAGAATACGAGTGTCACATAAAATTTTTTAGAGAAATTCTTGTGTTTGCATAACTAAAAGTATCTAAGTGCAAACTTTAAAAATTTTAGTATATATAACAAATGAGGGTAGGTAAGTGCAAAATAGGTAAAACGATATAGCATTCAAGTACAATTAGCCTTGCCCTGACCATGTGAAGATGCATCGTTGGCATTTTGACCTCAGATCTGATCTTCGAGCAGTCAACAGCAGACGGGGGTTTATTTGCAAAACCTCAACCCTTCAATCTACAATAATTTTGACCCCCCTCCTTTTCTCCCTCCGCCGCTATCTCCCTCAAGTTCGACGATTCTGGAGGCGATCGCCGCTCCGACGGACAACTTCAAGCTTTCAAAAGTAAAAGGTGATTCCTTGAACTGAAAGTTTTGAGAGTTTTTGTACTGGAATCGGTTCTGTTGTTTATTATGCTCTGAGGTCATCAGACATCGAACCGAAATTTGTGGAGTTGATGCGGTGAGAAATTCCAAAAATGGAATCTTTGAGCGCATATGCTTGAATCCGACATTGCTTTTGGTGCATGATGAGTTTTAAGGGGAAAAGGATGGAATAAATGGGTATTGGGTTCCTTCTTTTGCTGTCATATCGTCAAATTTAGGGCAAAATTTAACAGTTCTTATGGGTTTCAGTATCGTCTATGTTTTAGGCGATGAGTAACCGGGGTGTGTGTGTTTATGTTCTGTCTTGTGGTGTCTGCACTTGTGGGTCTCCTTGCTTTAGTTTCTAATTAGGATCTTGCGCTTGATCTCTACACCAATTCGTTCAAAATTGGGTTGGTAACAGATTTCTAAATTGGTTCCTAATTTGATTTGCTTACTAGTTTTCTGACAGAACTACTGGTTTGATTTAGTCATGACAGTAGTGTTCCTCGACTTAAAATCAATCGGTAAGTGTAAGCAGATTATTGCACATGTGTACAAACATGAACATATATCTACATATCTAAATTAAAACTAGATGCCTAATTTAAAACCTTACAGAAGGGGTGGGGTGGGGTGGGGTGGGGTGGGGGGGGGTATTTTCTATGTTAAATTATAAATTACTCTACACCCAATAGTGTGTTAACCTGTTCAAACTTAAGTGTTTATTTTGACTCACTTACCCTTATGATAGAAACTTCAGAGCAACTGTCACATGACATTGTGAAAATTGGAAGTGGCAGAACTTTATTTGAACTTATGATACTACATAACGGTATCACCCTGTGTAACACACCCACAACAAGAGAATCATTACCCATGATAACAAGCTCAATCAGTTCTCAAAGAAGGATATCGGCATTTCAGGCAATAAAGAGTGATTAACAAATTTTTTTATATGTTAATAAATTCTTTGCTTTATTGAACTGAAAAGATGTACAGGATGATTTTGTCTTTGCTCAGCTTTTAGAAAGGTATCAACGTGGTTTTGTTTATTTTCCAAAAAAAAGAAAGAAAGAAAGAAAAAGATAAAGAAGACAAAGATCAATATTTGAAATACCTTGCTAGATGCTATTATAATAATAAGGTCTGCATTTATTGTTGGTGATTCGATAATGTTAAGAAACTGATATTTTTAGTAAGTAAATTAACCAATTTTTTTTATCCCCATATGTTTTTAGCTACTTGATTTTACCTACACAGGTGGATATTCTGTTTATAGACATTTGGATTAATATAGAATCTACATGAAACTTAGTTATGATTATGTGTGCTATATTCTTTTATAACTGTAATGATAAAAAGCATCGTAGATGACAATTGTTTTAAAAAAACAGTCTGGGCACTGGCCTAGGCCTAAGTGGTACCTAGGCTGCCTGCTTCATTCTTGAGAGGCGTCTAGGCGAACATGGGCCACTTATATGGACTCACCGCGTCAAAAATGGTTTATTGCTTGCTTAAGCATAATAACTACTAAAGATATGATCTTGAATCTTTGAAAAGAAATATTTTCTCTCTCTGTGCTAAAAAACGCCTACATGCTGCTTAGGTGCCTAGGTGCTAAGCCCCATGTCCGGGGTCTAGAAGCGCCCTCTGTATTCCAAAACACTGGATTAAACCATTCTTACATAATCAGTAAGCCATACTTAATAATCTCATTTCTACACAAAAGGCACTATTTCCTCATTGTTCTAACTCCTAGTTTTTGTAATCAATCTTCCTTTGCTTGGAGTGCAGGAGCTGTTGGTTAATGGAGAAGAAAAGTAGCATCAAGTCATCCACTCTCCTCGGGAGGATATGGGGTTTCTTTCAAAAATGCCTCTTTTTAGTGCTCTCCTTTGGTCCCATGCCTAACCATATAGCATTCATAATGGACGGAAATCGGAGATTCGCCAAGAGCAGGGGTATTAAACAAGGCGGAGGTCACAGTATTGGCTTTGCAGCCCTCATATCTACTCTTCAGTATTGTTATGAAATGGGAGTGAAATATGTAACTGTATATGCTTTCAGTATCGATAATTTTAAACGAAAGCCAGAAGAAGTCCAATCTGTGATGAAGCTGATGCAGGAGAAAATAGACGAACTTCTTAAGGAAGAAAGCATTGTGAATGAGTATGGTATTAGGATCAATTTTTGGGGGAACCTGAAACTTTTGAGCGATCCAGTAAGGTTGGCAGTTGAGAAGGCAATGACTACCACAGCCAAGAACACAGGGCCGGTACTCTCAGTATGTGTGGCCTACACCTCTACAGATGAGATCATGCATGCCATTGAAGAATCATGTACAAAAAAGATCAATAAGGTACAAGAAAGGAATGGTAGTGGTTATGAAATTATGGAAAACTTGGTTTCAGTAGCTGATTTGGAGCAGCTTTTGTATACGGCAGATTGCCCTGACCCTGATATTGTGATTAGGACTTCAGGGGAAACTCGTCTGAGTAACTTTCTTCTGTGGCAGACTACTTTTTCGCACTTGCAGAATCCGTCCCCTCTATGGCCTGAGTTCTCTTTTAGGCACTTGGTGTGGGCTATACTGGAGTACCAGAAGGTCTACCCTTATTTAAAAGAGCTAAGGAGCAAAAATAAAAAGCAGAATTGAAGGATTAGTTCCAATTTTTGGATACTTAGTAATTTTTATATGTCTCGTATTCTGATTTTGACCTATATGAGAGTCGTACCTTATTTTGTGGAATATATATGAAGTTAGATGACAATGATCAATATACAAGTGATTCAACATACATCTACCAGTTGTAAACTGTGAACAGTACATTATAAATATGTGAACTCCCCTAAAGACTCTCCTTCAGAAGCCAGTGGCAACTCTGTGGTGATTGATAATGGGAAACTACCCTTTAAGAGCGATTAAAGTGGGATGTTAATATTATTCTGAAGCTTCCTGCCTCTGTAAAGAAGGTGCAACTTCTCGGACCAATAGGTAAATTTGCTAGTGATTTGCTTTATCAAGTTTCTTTACATTCTATGTAGATAAATTTGATCCACATTTGTGTTTTATTTGTTCTTAACTGGTTTTATTTTATGCTTGCTATAAACCTGATTAAATTTTATCCATATTATAAGCAATTATGCATTTGCTTGCTTTGATTCTTGTTTCTTGGATTTTGAACTGGATATGGTACATGTTATGAGCTAAAAGGAAACTAATGATTAAATTCTTACATCTTTGAGGGAGAAATTTTACTAAATTTTCGTATCTAAGCGTGCTTGTTAAAAACTAAATTTTGAGATGGGTGAACCTGCTGGGAAGTTCCCTTTGGACCTGCAAATACTATTATATAAATAAATTTAGGCGCTGTAGGCAGATAATATTTTTTGATCATATTTCTTCTGACCAGCAAAATTTGTTATTCTAACTAATCTTGTAAGATGAAACATGTGGGGAACGGAAACAAATTCCAGCACAAGAGCATAAACTCAGCTAACAGCTACCACCCAACAGCAAATAATACAAAGACATACTACTTACCTTAATTATATAGTAAGTACTCTCTTAGAATAATAACACTTGTGTTCAAATACCTGAATGACTAAAGTTTCGATCACACCAAGCACAGTTACATCCTTTGCTCATGCTTACTCATGAAGAACAAAACTTGTGATGTTTATAGTCTCAAGTTCAATCAAATTCCAAACTTCCTACAAAATAACATTCATAGTATGACAGAAGACATTCTTTAGTCCCTTACAAGGTACACAGATCTCAAATTAAATGTTAGCTAATACAAAATTTAGGATATATTTTGTATGTAGTACATCTGGACATCACAAATTGATGGAGTACACCAACCTTTAATGTATACTGTAAATCTCTCCAAAATTTGATAAAGTTGTGTAAAACTGGCATGGAGGTTCACTTGTTTACAGTTATTCAGTTGATTTTATGGTTTACTGAGGTATAAAGGGAATACAATGCATTTTAAGGAAAAAAAGAACATTCTCACTTAACTGGAGGAAGAAAACACCCTGAGACGTTTACATTTGCTTGAGTTTAATTCACTCTCCTGTTCTTCTTCATTCTCGAACATTTTTCCTGACTTCTGTTTCTTTCTTAATTTTTTCTTTCATTTGTTTTCACTTGAAATAAGGTAGGCCTAAGAGCCGATAGTAATAGATTTAGGTTTTCCATTGTAACTAAATCTATTCTTATAAATCATGCATTTAGCCTCTATTAATTCTTTAGTTTTAAAAAAGTACCACAAACTTTTATTATTTTATTAGAAGAAATAACTTTCAGAAAACCCATCTGCACTTAGTGGGGTTTTGCATGAAATCCCTCTGAACTTCATAAATCATAGAAACCGGGTGAACGTTCAAAATTATACTAACCTTCCTGAACTATTGTAAATTATCATTAACGGCGTTATAGAGTAGAGAGTCTAAACTACTATTTTTCTCTTCTTACCTACCATTACTTGAAAGAGTAATATTAAGTTATGTTAAGTACATGCGGTTCACGTGACCACTAATTTAAAAAGTATCCGCCAAGCCCGCCTAGACGGTACCTAGACCGTCTAACTAGCGCCTAGCGCCTGGGCAGTATCCAGGTTGCCCACCTAGATTTTGGGAGTGTTCAGTGGAGCATTTTTTGCTTACGTGAACTGGACTCTTTAGGCATTAATCGTGATTTTCTATGTTGTAACCTCCACGTCTTCTAACCTCCTTCAAACTCCTTTAATATCCAAATATGAACACCTCTACTATCTCCTACGACCTTTAGCAAAAACCTCCTCGATCACCACTTAAATGAAAAAAAACCACCTAGACATCAGTCCGGCACCTGAGCTTTCTATAACTTTGACATTTACTATCAATTATTATAATTAAAAAATAAAAAAAAGAAACATTCCTAGGTTCTAGGTGTCGGGTCCAATGGCTAGGCCTCCTAGCGCTTTCTATAACTTTGTTAGTTATAACTTTGGTTATTTAGTATTTAAATATGTATGATTTATTAAGGATCTAAGATTGCTATTTATTCTTTTTACAAACTTATATAAATTTAACACATATTTTTATCAATTATTATAATTAAATGATTTAAAAAATAACCAAATGCCTACGTGTCTAGGCGCTAGGTGTTGGCTCAAACGCCTAGTCCGCCTAGCACCTTCTGTAACATTGCACGTGACACGTCACAACTTAAGGCAACTGCCAGTACATGTGACAACTTAAAGTAACCGCCATTAGTCATAGCACTTATGCAAGACAAGTGTAGGGCGTTTCTCTATGACTTATTAAATTCAAGGGATTTTGTGCAATACCTCCCTAAGTTCAGCGACTTTGTTTGTTTGAGAAAATTATCATAAACTTATATTTAGTCCTAACTTTTGTTGCAGGATAAGCATGCAAATAAATTAATTATTTATAACTTACTTATCTTCTCTTGCCTCTCCCCTATTTTCTGAAAACATCATAAAATTGAAACTCATTGCAGCAACTTGGAATAGATAAGAGTTCATGATAGTTTTTTCAAATACACGAAAGTTCTTGGCATTGGTACTAAAGAAATTACCCTAATTTTCACCTCTTATTCATTCCCAATATTTCAACAGTACTTCTAACTTATAGTTGACACCCCTCCTGATTGAGTTATTAAACCAATAGCATAGAAGTTGAGAACTTGGGACGCTATAGTGAACCACGTCCTGAGTTCAATCGTCCTAGATTCGCATGGAACATTACCCGATTCATCAACAACGACCCGATTTAGAACTCAAACCATTTAAAATTTTGGGGGGAAAAGCTCTTTTTTAAAAAGAATAAACAACAAAAACCGTAAGCAATTAAGCAAATAAAGTATGCTTACCTTATTGCAACATGATTCTCAATGTCTTTTTTACCATTACTAATATCAACTAACATATTTCCTAAATTTGACTCTTGCAAAACCTCAAATTCCTACTTTTAAGGACTGAACCTAAAGCGTACCACATACTCTAGCAGACCGTATAAACATAATCCCCTCGGACTTGATTCCTAATGAGCGGCGTACCACGCTCTCGTACCCGTCCTGTGAACCGGAACGAACGGGGTTCCATGCAACTATGCCCAATAGTTTATTATCAAATAAGAGAATCTCTTACTATTTTAATCTCCCCTTCTTATGAACTTTACATACTCTGCTTTACTCTGAGACAGATGGAAAAAAATTATTTTCTTTTTTGTCTGAATTGGATGGCAAAATTTCTCTTCAAGATGAATGATTGCTTATCTCTTTGCTTTAGCATAGGCTGTGAGAAGGGTATATCGAAGGAAAAATGTCAATTTTCTGACTTGTGTTCAGTAACCCTGATACCTGCAGTAATGTTTTCGCAGATGTTACCGATTATAACCTGAAGAATTAACTGCTTTAATATTGATTTTACCAAGACAGCTGCCATCCATTTTTGTACATCCTGAGTGGGGAAATTTCTTTATTGAGTGAAAAAGGTTAATTGCGCGTACACCCCATGTACTATCGCCCAATTGTGGATACATCCCCTGTAGATCTATTGCTTTGGATAGACAGTAGTTCCATTGTTGCAGGTAGATCCTCTGGCTAAAAGTTTAGTCTAGTTTTTTTTTTAAATTTTACCCTCAGAGAAAGAGAAAATTGACGAATAGAGCTCAAGAGGGTGAAAGAGTATAAAAAATTCACTCAGGGGGGTCTATCCACAATTGGGTGATAGTACAGGAGGTCTATCCATAATTAACCGTAAGCAAAATGATTTGAGGCTTAAACTTGTCTGTCTTCGCTAATCTTTGTGTTCATCCTTCGTAGTGTTATATGGTATACTTGCCTGGCTATTGATTTCTTCTTTGACTAAAAACAAGTCTGATGCAACTAATTGTTTCTTCTTACTTCGATTTAAAAAAATGATTTGGAAAATTCTTCAAATTATGATACTTATTTATGCTTGAATGTCTGATCATATACTCCTTGCTTGCAGGAAGGTGGTTGTGAATTCAATTCTGATATCCCTGTTGCTCCTGAGAAGTTCTGCTGCTGTTGGAATTTGCCACAGATAAGCATTGCTCCTTTTTCCTACGTCAGAAGAAAGAAGATGGCTGCTAGTGGTGATTCTGTTATTGAAGCATATAGAAAGAGCATTTGCATGCTTGTAATAGATAAGTTACAGATGCGAAAATCTTGGTAGATATCGTCGATAGTACAGTCTAAATCGAGCTTGATGGGTGTATTGAGTAGAAGAGTCATTCGAATCATTCGAATGACCAAGGTGAAAGCAGTTCCTCCTTTCTACGTGATTCTTTCAGCCAACACGAGGAACTAGTAACTTGGATACCATTTTCTGGCTGAAGATAGTTGAAGTTACTTGATTTGTTTGTATTTGTCCTGTAACAGTTACTTCCTCCTTTAAACCATGTAGGAATATTGAGTAGTAAGAGGGTCAATAATAACAGATGCTGGTTGAATACAAGATCAATGATTCTTGAAGTATATCAGATGACAAATACTGTTTAAATCTTGTATGAACTTGAATTTTCATAAACCTTTGTTGAAGGCTATCAATATTGCTTTAATTGCAAGGCGTCAATATAACTATTGTATGGTGCAAATGCTCCTTGCGGTTCATTTCTCATGGAAATTTCCTCTTCATTGTGGTTACTTTTTCTTTTTTATTGTTGTTAGTTAATTGTTTTTATATCTGACTTTGATGTTCTATGGATTCAAATCCTCTCGAACGGGGGTGCTAATTGGAGAGGGTCTAATTCTCTTAATCTCTTATCTTCTTTCTCAATTATAATGGATGAGATCATGCCACCTAAGATTTTCACTATCACAAAACAGTGGTTTTGATTATAGTGGTCTTCACGATTATCATGGTTTCGAAGGTAAAAATGAAAATCTTACACAGTATGATCTTATCCGTTGGAAGTGATATAGATGGCAATGATTGAGAAAATTAGATCCTCTCTGATTGCCATTGAGAGATTTGGATTGAGATAAGTATATCCCTGTTCTATACCAGAGGTTGAGGCTGTTTTTCCTTATTAAAATCAGAAAATTTTAGTATAACTTCACTACTTTAACGAATTGGATTCATTTTTAGCGCAGCTTTTTTTTTGGAAATGATTGGTATGTTCTCATTCTTTTCTTCAATTCTTTCACAATGACGCATGAAAAAGTAGTGATCCGTAGTGAGTTACTTATGATCGAAAATTTCCCAGTTCATTACGGGTAAGTTGTTTAATCAATTGAAATCTTCCCACTTTGTTACACTCGAGTTATTTTTAATGAAATCTTCATCATAATTAATACTGTTGATATTAGTTGGCCCAAAGGCCTGTTGATGACCTGTTACTTAAAGGCCCAGTTCCCTTTTACATTTGCCCTAGTCCTCTCTATTCCTCTCTCCTACCTGATGGTACTCAATCCCTTTCTCATCTCTGTGTTCTGATGGCCGCCGCTTGGAGTCTCATCTCCTCCATCCCTGTAGGTCGGCTCCTGTCATTCGAAACCCTAGCCTCTCTCCCGTGTTGGCTGCCCCCTTCTCTATATAAGTCGAAGAGTTGGTAGTAGCTCGGGGTGGGAAGGAAGAAGAGACAGAGGCGAGAACTTGAGTTTTGTGCTCTATTGCTTTGTGCGATCTCTCCTCCCATTCTGTAAGATTTTCCCGACCATCGCTTTGTGCAAATCCCCTTTCCTCTTTGTGAGTGATTAAAGGAGAAGATCTGTGGGCTCCCTTTTGTGTTCTTGGTGGTGCACAACTGAGAAGGAACAGTGACTGAAGAGCATGCTTCTGAGCCAAACAGCGACGACATCAATCTTCTCTACAGTGGTATCAGAGCTCGGTGAGTGGTCGCCTTTCCAACATAGCCGATCGCCGCTGCAGATCTGCGACTCCAGAATGCCGGACCGCCGTAGGACACCGCCGGACCACCTCCGGACCACCGCTGGACCGCCGCGTGGGCGTGGGTAAGGTCGAAACCCTCTCATAGGGTTTCACTCAGGTATATTGTCGGAAAACCCAACTTTTATCATTTTTTCTTTCCCGAAATCCAATTTCGCTCAGGTGAATTAACTGAAAAAACAAACTCTTATCAGTGTTTACTTTCCGCTGCAGTTAAGCTCTGACTTTGTTGAAAATTTACAGTAAATTTCTGAATTTTTCGGCTATAGTTGTTTTTTAATAGTTTCTGTTATTGTTTGTGTTCGTGTGAAAGAACAAAGAGATTGAAACAAGAACTCTGTGTTCATCGTTCTTCTTATTTGTTCGTGCTACTTTCTTCACACGTTTTGAGCCGGATAATTACCGAAATCATCGTGCTAGTTGTTGTTTGTTTTTCTGTGTGAAAAATATCTGTTGCTAATCAATATGGTATGATTCAATATGGTATGGTTCCGTTCAACAGAAAATCTGATTTTAGCATTTGGAAACAAAAATTAAAATGCATTTTAATTCAACAGAAGTCATTTAGGGATGTTGGTCAGACCTATTTGACTTTTGACACTGAAGAAAAAAGGTCTGAAATGAACGAAAATGCTTGTTCCACAATTTATTTGAACTTATCTGACTTTGTGCTTAGAAAAGTTAGAATTTTAGAATCTGCTAAAACCCTTTGGGATAAACTTGAAGAACTCTCTACTAAAACCTCTTTGCCCAGTAAAATGTTTTTGCTTAAAAAAAATTTTAAATTTAGATTGGATATGTCTAAGGAAAACCTCTTTGCCCAGTAAAATGTTTTTGCTTAAAAAAAATTTTAAATTTAGATTGGATATGTCTAAGGACATTGAGGAGAACCTAGATGTTTTCACAAATCTAAGGACATTGAGGAGAACCTAGATGTTTTCACAAAACTTATTTCAGATATTAAGTTAACTGGTGATTGTTTGCGTCGAAAATTAATGTATTCATTGCGGTATTCATTATAACTTCGGTCGTTACAATGAAAACAAAAAGATAGTCTTTTTAAAAGACTTTTACACAATGAAAATGAAAAAATACAATTCTCGTCAAACAAACGCAGAGATCGTTTATCGATCTTCTGCTTGCGTGGGATCTTTGCCTGTGCCGGGGTTTATCCGTGGACCGCCTTAGATCTGGATCCAGTTGATGGAAAATTCGGCAGAGCTTCGCCTTCGCCGATGAAGTATTTGATTTGAAGCGCTGAAATCGACCAAGCGAAATCAGGGCTCTTCTCGAGATTAAGACCAAGCCTAATCTCAAGGGACGGACGAACGGGGTTCAGATCCTTCGAATAGCTCCTTCTTTATGCCGAAGTTCGCCAGGATCTGATTTGCCTTCGCTGAAATTCGTGCTCCTTTGACTCCACAATCCGGCAGCACCTCCTCGTCTTGATAATCAATCGCCCCCGCTGAAAGGAGGCCCTAGGCTTGTATTTATAGGGCTTCAGAAGCGGTTATTTGGATGAGAACAAGTGATTTGGCTCTATCTTCAGTTAACAACAGCCTAACCACGTTTGGGGATGATATCAGGTCAGTTAGAAACCCCTGGAACCAACAAATCTCGAGAAAAAACCATCCAAAACCGAACCGGGACGAAACAGTGCGCGCAGGACAAGTCTGACCCGCGCTTGCGAGGGTCGGATGGAACCGACCCGCGCCGCCGCGGGTCGGTTGTACAGCCTAACCACGTTTGTAGATGATATCAAGTCAGTTGGGAACCTCTGGAACCAACAAATCTCGAGAAAAATCATCAAAAACCGAACCCGATCGAAACAGCGCGCGCAGGACAAGTCTGACCCGCGCTTGCGCGGGTCGGATGGAACCGACCCGCGCCGCCGCGGGTAGAGATCTACAACTTTTATGTTTTGAGATTTTTCAGATTCAAATCGCAGCATAGTCAAAACTTCACTTCTTTGTGCGGTCAAATCACTGTAGCAAATTCCGACCCGCGGCTACTGTAGCAAAATTCCGACCGCTACTGTAGCATAATCCCGACCCGCTACTGTAGCAGATTTTCCGACCCGCTACTGTAGCAGAATTCCGACCCACGGGTACTGTAACAGCCTTAACTCACTCATCCGACCTCGGAATGAGGCGATTCAAGATGCGTTGGAAAGCCGACGAGGAGATCT